GATGGTAAGGCTATAGTAAGGCATGGCAAAATTGACGTAAAATTATTTTTCAAAATATTTTTTCTTGAATGTTTCTCATAAAGTTATTGCAGTTAGAGAACATTTTTTGAATTTTTTTTTTTATTAAATGTCTGTCAAACGTTTTTAAACACAATCTTACGTTTACATTATCATTTTCCAGTTATGATACAGTACGTACGTACGCTGTCAACATCGGTGCTACTTTAAACAATACATTCCAATAAAAATTAGCAGCACTGAATACTCTGATCAAACGCCTTTTGCAAACACCAAACAGTACACTCCTCATGGTCAATAGAAAACCCAAACATATTGACATATAAACAAACAAGAAAGTGAATAAAATAAGTGTAACTTATCTTAAACATCAGGCTTTTCCTCAGCATTCCTCATACGACTGTTGAATTGCAGTTTGGGAACAGTATTTTCTGCTTTCTTATTTCGGGTTCAGCACCGAAGTGAAATCCTTAAATCCATATTTTTCCACTCAGTTCAAAGGCATCGTGTCAAGATCAATGACGTCAACACTTTGCAGACCCTGCAAATTTGCTCCTCCTCCTCTTCCTGCATCAATGACGTCAACACTTTGCAGACCCTGCAAATTTGCTCCTCCTCCTCCTGCTGCTCCTCCTCCTCCTCTTCCTCCTCTTCCTGCTCCTACTACTCCTACTCCTCCTACTCCTCTTCCTCCTCCTCATCATCATCATCACTGATGTCAGGGTGGACTGGCACGACAGCAGTCACCTTCTACTTGCCATAAAATGTTGAAGAAAGCTGAAAATTAAACACATGCAACAAAATAATTATTATAAGGTCATAAACCGACAGAAACCATTTATATTCACTAAAACACAGTCTTGAAATGCACTTATTTATATATATTTTTTCAAAAATCCCTGCAGGATCATTTTCACTGTTTTTAATTACCTAGAAAAATCAATGCTTACAACAGCTTTTACCCATTATCTATGTCAATTCTAAAATGTTTTATTTTATTTTTTTGTTCTCTCTCTTCACAGACGGTGCAGACGGAGCGGGATCATCCAGGCATGAAGACGACTGACAGACAAATGGCAGAGGGTGTGAAGGAATAATGGCCAACAAGTCTCTCCCCATGATCGTCCTGGACCTCACCACGGTCCCGTGGGGGCCTCAGCCTACGGTCCCCGCTGACGCCAATGTTGTCACGAGCTCGCAGTCCCAGATCAAAGACCTGTTTGGGTTGCTCTGCATGGTGACCCTTAACCTCATCGCTTTATTGGCCAACACCGGTATGATGGTGGCCATCGCACGAGCTCCTCACGTGAAGAGGTTTGCTCTGGTGTGTCATCTGTGTGCAGTGGACCTGGTGTGTGCCATCCTCCTCATGCCACTGGGCATCATTTCCAGCTCGGCCTTCTTTGGCACTGTGGTGTTCACGGTACTGGAATGTCAGGTTTACATCTTCCTTAATGTTTTCCTCATCTGCCTGTCCATCCTCACCATCACGGCCATCAGCGTGGAGCGCTACTTTTACATCGTGCACCCAATGCGTTACGAGGTCAAAATGACCATCAACTTGGCCGTGGGCGTGATGCTCCTCATCTGGGTCAAGTCTCTTCTCCTGGCTATCGTCACCATGTTTGGGTGGCCAGCTTATGGACCGCAGAGCTCCATCGCGGCGGCTCACTGCTCCCTCCACGCCAGCCACAGTCGTCTGAGAAGGCCATTCGCCGTCCTCTTCAGCGTGGTCTGTTTCCTGGTTCCCGCAGCAGTTATTTTTGCAGTCTACCAGCGGGTGCCTGGACCGACGTGGGCGAACAACAACAACGCTGAAAAAGACCGCTCAGACTCCATCAACAGCCAGACGACCATCATCACCAGCCGCAACCTGCCCCAGATATTGTCCCCGGAGAGGGCTTTTAGCGGGGGCAAAGCTGCGTTGACTTTGGTGTTTATAGTGGGCCAGTTCTTGGTGTGTTGGTTGCCTTACTTTATCTTCCACCTGCAGATGTCTCTGAGCGGCTCCATGCAGAGTCCTGGAGACTTGGAGGAGGCGGTCACCTGGTTGGCCTACTCCTCCTTCGCGGTCAATCCGTTCTTCTACGGCCTGTTGAACAGACAGATCAGAGAAGAGCTGGTAAAGTTTCGGCGCTGCTGCCTGACTCAGCCCGCCGAGTTTGGGGCGTCCAGCCACGAGGGCTCCCTTCAAGACAACATCCTCCAGTTCATCCAGAGAACCAGCAGCTCCACTGAAAACCACTCCAACTGTAAGAACCCCAGTCCCAGAAACACTTTAGACCACGGGGCAAACATCCCTGGACAAATACCTGATGGAAATCCCTAAACAACGATCAACAAGCGCTAAGGGTTATGTAGCTAATACTATATTTGTCATTTTGTCTGTGGTATTTATTTGTTTTGTATTTTTTCCTCTCTTAAAATATTACTGACAGGGTTAACAGCAGTCACAAAGGCATTCTTTGAAAAACTCCATGCATTTGAAAATAAATAACTTTTGGCAGACGACTTTTATGGATTTCTTCCCCATCACATGTTCATAAAGAACTGGTTCCTTTGAAGGAACCACTGCAGGGTTCAAAACTCTTTACATGTCACAGTTGTTTTCAAATGTCAAATTCAAATGTTCGTCATTTCCAACCACGTTTCAATGAAACAAATGAACACAGACAACGTTAGCAAAATAACTATCAACACAAAAGTGACTTTTTTGTTGTGATCACTGTGCCGCTAAACAAAGAGAAGACGTTAGCATATCTAGGCCGATCTTTTTTTGTTAAATCGTTCGTATCGTAACAGAACAAATCGTACAGTGATCACAGGGATCGTAGTATTTTTATGATATCGTTCAGGTTTGCTGTGGCCTTTACATGTCAGTTGTTTTACTGACGCTGCCGGTCTGTGTTGACAGCCGGAGGTCCATTACGTCTAAGCTCCGACATGATAAACAGCAGCTCAGTGTAAAACCCACATACAGGATCTGTTTCCGAGCACTAACGCCACCAGATCTGAGGGCCTCTCCTGAACGCGAGAGACAATGCCTCCCAGTTCCTGTGTGCAACAGATATGCCGACTGTCATCGCCCTCCCTGTTGTCATGGAAATTGAGCGAGCCTCTGACTCACATAGCAACAAAGACCTTTCAACTGAATGACGCCTAGGATTCTGATTTGACTCTCCTTACTCTGGCCCTTTGTTGCTCTCTGCATGTGGACTGATTATGAAATGTCTCAAAATTGAGATGGAAGTTGATTAACATTTAAACAGCTGCTGTGGGTCGGCAGCTGGAGTCTCTGGGAGAACGGACTTCAGTAAAGTAAAGTGAGGAGTAAATATCCAGTGGAAATGGTTACTGGCATAAAGTGCAGCTTTATGGTCTCTGCTGTTTGTACTGGTAGAAATGACAGGAAAATGAGAGTGGCTAGAGCAAATACTAAAGTACTTTGCTGTCATTGAATAACATACTGCAACACTTACATAAGGTAATGTTTATGATATTCATTAGCACCTCACCTGAGTGGCCAAACTCACATAGCTAAGTATTTTAAGGCAAATGAGTGCATTTTTAGTCATTTTTGAGAAACTTTTTTTTCCGGAGATTTGTTTGGGAAATTAATGGTATAGTATTTCACTGTCATCAAAAGTTGACGTACCAAAAAAGTCTATTTTTTCTGAATTTTAACAACAGAAATGGACATAGCTAAGTATTTTAAGGCAAATGAGTGCATTTTTAGTCATTTTTGAGAAACTTTTTTTTCCGGAGATTTGTTCAGGAATTTAGTGGTACAGGATTCTACTGTGATCAAAAGTTGACGTACCAAAAAAGTTTATTTTTTCTGAATTTAAACAACAGAAATGGACATAGCTAAGTATTTTAAGGCAAATTAGTGTATTTTTAGTCATTTTTGAGAAACTTTTTTTTCCGGAGATTTGTTCAGGAATTTACTGGTATAGGATTCTACTGTGATCAAAAGTTGACCTACCAAAAAAGTTCATTTTTTCTGAATTTTAACAACAGAAATGGACATAGCTAAGTATTTTAAGGCAAATGAGTGCATTTTTAGTCATTTTTGAGAAACTTTTTTTTCCGGAGATTTGTTCAGGAATTTACTGGTATAGGATTCTACTGTGATCAAAAGTTGACGTACCAAAAAAGTTTATTTTTTCTGAATTTAAACAACAGAAATGGACATAGCTAAGTATTTTAAGGCAAATGAGTGCATTTTTAGTCATTTTTGAGAAACTTTTTTTCCCGGAGATTTGTTCAGGAATTTAGTGGTACAGGATTCTACTGTGATCAAAAGTTGACGTACCAAAAAAGTTTTGTTTTTTTTAATTTTAACAACAGAAATGGACATAGCTAAGTATTTTAAGGCAAATGAGTGCATTTTTAGTCATTTTTGAGAAACTTTTTTTTCCGGAGATTTGTTCAGGAATTTAGTGGTACAGGATTCTACTGTGATCAAAAGTTGACGTACCAAAAAAGTTTATTTTTTCTGAATTTAAACAACAGAAATGGACATAGCTAAGTATTTTAAGGCAAATGAGTGCATTTTTAGTCATTTTTGAGAAACTTTTTTTTCCGGAGATTTGTTTGGGAAATTATTGGTATAGTATTTCACTGTGATCAAAAGTTGATGTTGAGCAGGTCTATGTTCCCAACACCCAAAAGGCTGCATGATTGAGCTGTTAAATAACTACTACACTGACCATGTCCAACAGAGAGCGCTATTTACCTACTGTATAATGCAGTGCAGTCTCGCAGTCATTACCTCATTACATTACTGTGTGCACTTATGTTTTGTAGTTAAAGACGAAGAAGACATTCAGTTCACAGAACAGTAAATTAAACTCACTCCAAGAGTTTTCTGTATTTATGGCAGACATTAAAATTGTCTTGATAGAGAAAAAATAGTGTAATAATGAAGTATAATAATAATAATAATAATAATAATTATCAGCTGCAATTCAGCAATATTCAATATTCAACTACATTACTACGTATTAGTAGCTGAAATACTGTATTATAATTTAAATTTTGTCGTCTATGTCCAAATGAACCTTCTCTTAAAATACAACAGCTGTAAAATACCAGTGAAGACAGAGCTGCTAGAGTCAATAAAGGAATTCCTCAACAGGACGGTCACCACACAGCTATGTTTCACTCAGGTGTCAATTGGAAGCTGTGCTAAGTCAAGGCAGCAGCAGATCTACAGTGAATCCCTCCTCTCCACTGCATCCTTACTATGTTTTCAGAGGCTTCATCACAAAAGTAAACTCTCCAAAAGCCAACCTGTGGATACCAGAGCCGGGGATTTCAAAAACAACAAACCAGTAAGGGAAAATCAGCCAAAGTACAGTCTGTAAATCTGGGACAAGTCGTCTGATTCACAGACCGAAACCCCAAAAATCTCAAACAGGAGTTTTAAATGTTCCGTGGACAATCTGACCTGTCACAGGGATTACAGTTAAACGTTACCATGCTGCTGTACAACGTAGGATCTGTGAGACCTTAGAGCATGAAAAATAAACTTTCCCATCATGCACTTCATCCCGCGACTGCAGTCTGTACTGAAACCCATGATGTTGAACCTGGACTAACAGAAGACCCCGAGCCGTCATGCATGTTTCATGACTAGCTGTGGATTTAATACATACACGGCATAATAGTGACCTCATCTGGACATGAAGGCTGACAAATTATCAAGGAGTTTGACTAAAACCAGACTCTAATTTCTTTTTAATTTATTGTTTGTTTTTTGGTCTAATCCATATTGTGAAAAATAACAAAATTAAAAACCAACACGACTCCTTTTCCAACTCCCACTTCTCAGTGATCCTTCACCTGTGAAGCTCTCTGTCATTGGTATGTACTGAGTGTAACTGCTTCCAGGCTGAAACAAACTGAACATCTCAAATAACTCCTGCTTCCACAGCCCTAGTGGTCAAATCATTAAATACATTAATTTAAATGAAAAACAGGCAGCGACAGACTCTATACAGGGAAACTATACATTATTAATGTCAGTGGTAACATATACTGCAGTATGATGTATTTGTAATGCAGTATGTGTAATATGTTAAGATGGACAAGGCTGGGTTTATTAACATTAACATTAAAAAAAACAGCAAAAAAAAATGAAAAAAAATGATAAGAATTGATGCATTTGCACTCCAGCCCTGAAGGTGGTGGTATGACACACTGTGACTAGAGAATGCAGAGATTAATTTGTTTGGGTGATTCTTTTTTTTCTTTTTGTTTAATTTTCAGGATGCTAGCCAGATAAACTATGAAACTATGAGGAACTGAAGACATAACTTAACCCAGGAGCTGGATGTCACATAAAATAAATAGTAGAACATATAATTAAAAAACAAAACAATAATCTGTAAGTGTGAAAGACAAAAAATACACAGCTAAATAGAGATTTTTTTTTATCACATCCGAAGTCACTATGTTTTTTCAAATGTCCAATCAAAATTCACTGAATTAAACAAACTGAAAAACAAACAGAGGGCAAAATGTATTTTAAGGAACACGTCAATATACTGGGAGTGGATTTCTTTTAAAAGGGATGAAAAAATATTTTAGTATGATTTTATAGTTTTGTTTTAATTCTACTAACTCTGACTGTCTGATAAGTCAAAAGGCCTAATTCGTTTAGGCAGAAATTTATTTAATTTTTTGAATGTATATCAGGGAAAAAAAATCAAGATTAAATGCAAGATATCATTAAATAACACACATATGACATAACGTTTACTAATAAGTAAATGACATTTACAGTTCAAACGCTGAAGGGCTAAAGGTTAAAACCTGTAAAGCTATCAATTCTGGTAGTGATATCACAACCTCCCGGCTGTAGGAACTCTGCCCTGCAGTGCTGAGCTCCAGCTACGCCTATAACCATATATTTCTATAACAGGGTAAATATGTCAGATCTCCCAGCCGTTGAATTTGTACGTCTCTGCCGAGGCTGCTAACTGGAAATGGGAACAATAAATCAATGAAATGACCCTTCCAGGATGAGAATAGCCCCTGTCAGCCATCACGGCCGTCATCCATCAGGAGCCAATGTTCAGGTAAACGCCTTACATCACATATCCAATAATGAGCAGAATTCCCTACGTGTCGGGAAAAACAATGTCAACACTGTTGCTATGGAAACACCGCTGATGCTACATGTAAACGATCCCGAACCACTGACACTGGCTGAGTTTTACTGCACAAATGTTGCTAAATATAGACGCCGCGGCGCTGTGCTGTAGGTCTGACTGCATTCGATGGCTGATAGACGCCGCTGCAGGCTCAGTTTGCACTGACACCACTGGAGGCAGCGGTATCTCTGCTGAGCTATTTCTGTCCCTCTGCCTCCATGCCTAACTGCCCCTACTCCCTCCGCTGCCACTCCACGAATACTTCTCTAATTGAGTTGGCTCTTGATCACATGTGCTCCAATCCCATCGCACCACTCCCACCGCTACTCTGTCTCCGCCACCAGGGAACGGGATCTATGGAATTTTCACCTGTGTTCTGCAGACAGAGCTCTTACAGTGAATCTGCTGATGAAGATGAGCAGGAGCAGAGTTCACTTCACTGTCGGCCAGTCCTCATGGAGCTGCGTCCTTCTCATTACCTCCTCACTGACATGTTGTGTTTATCAAACACCCTCATATAGAAACCGATGACGGATGGCAACAACTGCAGTTTAACTAAGACCAAGTTAGAGTTTTATTTTAGGGGCCTATTGAATTTTATGCTACGGGACCTTGTACAATCAGACGAACACTGTGTGAGGACATTCAGAACCTGCTGCTGTAGATAAACTGACAATCGTACATCAACAATCAAGATTAGATTAAAAAAAAAAATTCAATTGGTCCTATAGAAATAAACGCTCAGGTCAGAAACAAATTCAATAAAAGACGACTGAATGAACTAATGTCTCTTTTTTTTGGTCCACAGGCCTTGACTTGACATACAGCATGTGCACCAGAGAAAGACCACGTACCATAGTTTGAGAACCACTGGTTTAGGGCTAAGGTTGTTCCGTCAGTGTTCATTCTAGAATGAGTTCTAAAGTTGTTTAAACTTAAAGGTGTTTATGTTAAAAAATAGAATTCAGATTGTTATTGAAAAACTTTTTTAAATCTTTTTTTCCATTAAATAAGACCTCTGTGAATGACTACATTAGATGATTGATGATGATGTGATCATATTATTTTATATATATATTTTTGATGGGTGACGGGCAGCTCTCTTCTATGAAGGCCTTCCATTTTAAACACCCAATGGTGAGACGTTCTACACGTTGGACACAACACAGCGGCACATATTAAAACCACACATATATATATATATATATGTTTGTATGTGTCTAATTCTGTAGATTAGATGTCTGTAGAACAGTGAATTCTGACACTGTGGTAAAGACCACGGCCGGGGCAGCAGGGTGTGTTTAAGGCCTCTGCTGACTTTCTCTCCATGGTGGAAGTTTGTACCACGGTGTAAGCTCGGCCCCCGTTAGCCCCACAACCCCGTGTGAAATGTGACACAAGCCTGGGTTCCCCTTTAAGGCATGCCTTTTCTGTCTGCGTGCACCGCATTGTGGCGTGTGAGTGTACACAGGTCTGTGTGCGTGCAGAGTGACGGCCATTTTTACCAGGACTCCTGCAGCTGCTGTCCACTGGCATGTCACTGGGAGCGTCCGACTGGTGATACAGGGTGTCAGACGTGAAGCGAGGCAGCTGAGTGCACTTAGGTCCAGGGAGGTCCACTGTTCCAGGACTTGTAGCTCCACCATGGCGGATCAGTACCAGTTCAACGCTGAGGAGAAGTTTGTGAAGGACAGCCACACCAAGGAGATCGACCTGATCAACAGAGACCCCAAGCAGATCAACGAGGATGTCGTGAAGGTCTGTGCTGCACGGAAACACGTATCTGTTGGGATCAGGAATGCAACAAATAATTTGGAATGAGTGCAAAAAAAATAAAACTGATTGTCATCATGGTTGATTATTAGTAACAAAGAGCAGGAAAAGGTGAAATAATACAGAGTGGAAAAGCTCGAAATAGACCGAGGACTATTCCTGTGCTAGACATAAGGTTTATTTTGGGAGTGGGTGGAAGAGAGTGAACCTGATATACTGTGCCACTCTGTTTTATTTAGATTGAACAACTGTTGATCCTCTGATTGTTACTATGGCACAGCCACCAAAACATGTCCCGTGGAGACAGACGTCCACAAACATTTAGATTAGATTTTACTGGAATGTCCACAACGGGGACTTAGAGTTATAACATGGTCTGGTCTGACTGTTCTGGTCTGTTTAATAATATTGACTAAATCATAGATTATACCAATGGTTGTGCTCTGACTAATATACTGATTATACCAATGGTTGTGCTCTGACTAGTATACTACATCACTTTTGTTTAATAAATAAGTCAAGTTTGGAGTCACTTTTCTTATATATTAAAATTTTGAAATGAATGGTATTGCAAATTTCAGCAAGTTTCAGTCATGAAAAGGGCTATAAAAATGGACAGTTCCATAATTTGTAATTTTTTTTGTCATTTTATAATGATTTTTTAAATCATGACATGCCTACAGTAACTACACCAGACGTGTCTGTGATTTACTAAAATCTTTCTTGTCACCCAGGGAGGTTCGGTTGTTGTTCGTAATAATCAGAACCTCTTTTAAATTCCCCATCAGGTGGAGTTTGAGGACATCATAGCAGAGCCTGATGGGACACACAGCCTGGACGGAGTGTGGAAGCTCAGCTACACCACCTTCACCGTCTCCAAATACTGGTGTTACCGCATTCTGTCGGCCATCTTTGGTATCCCCGTTGCCCTGCTCTGGGGCTTCCTGTTCGCCTGCATCTCCTTCTGCCACATCTGGGCCGTGGTGCCGTGCATCAAGAGCTGCCTGATCGAGTCCCAGTGCATCAGCCGCATCTACTCCCTCTGCATCCAGACCTTCTGCGACCCCTTCTTCGAAGCCCTGGGCAAGATCTTCAGCAGCGTGCGCGTGATGCTGCGTAAAGAAGTCTAGGACCTGGCGCTGCGGGGTGATGCGTATGATTGGATGAAATGCAGTGTCTTTTTATACACCTAACCATCAGTCTTGGCATCTTGCTTACACTTTTCATAACATGCCGTTCTCCGCCCACACACATCTCCGAGTCAGCCGTCAGCTCCGAGGCCTTCTACCAGCAGAGGCTCTGTGACAGCTGCAGCCGACGGCCTGGTTCTGTGACAGCTCTGGCAGGGCTGACTGACTCCGGGGCTCTGAATCCGTCTGCACTTGGATCATTGAAAATGGCCACTTATTCACAACAGATGACTCAAAAACCTCACCGCTCGGCTCCGCCGCACCTTTGGACGATGCCACCTTTGTACGAGACGCTTAGCTGTTTTTTTTTTTTTTTTTAAAGTTCCACTGATGCTGTTTGTTGCTACGTCCAGTACTGATTTAATTGATGGTGTTAGTAACAATCTGTATAATTGACCTGTTAAATTAATTGCTGTCTCAATGAAACGACCTGTCCAGCGACAGCGTCAAGTTCTCATAAGTAACAAAATTCTGACACATTTTTCTCTAATGTTATTTTATTTATAGATTAAACCTCTGTCACTTAGAAACTTTTTTTGAGATTTGTAATCTATGAAATAAAAAAAATGCCTAGGAGTAACACTGTATAGCAGAGTGTGATTAGATTAAAGAGAACTCTAGTGAATGTTTAAATAAACCCTGATGTAATTACTAACTGTAGAAACCACAGACATCCTGCAGATGGACCTGGATTAGTTTACCATCGTAGAGTTGCTGCTCTTTTCTACACTGGAACTATATAATATAATGTCAGATTGAACATGAAATGTAACTCATTTAAAGAACATCAGCAGTTGACGCAACTGTCTGGAACAACAAGAATGTTTCACCACCGTCTCTGACTGCATGTGTATTATTAACAAGGATGAAGAAAAATTACTTTTAAGCTTCAACAAACACATCATCGTCAGATGTTACCCATCTGAGTAACTGTTGAACTGTGTCAACCGTAGAAGGAAACATCGCTAACAAACAGAGCCACTCAGAATATCAGACATTAATATACAGCTACTGCTTTTCTGCCTTTAAAGAAAGTATCCAAAAAAGAAGTAAACAGATATTTTCTGAAGAAGATATCCAAAAAAGAAGTAAACAGATATTTGAAGAATCGGAAGAAATATCTGAAGAAGAAAAAAAATAATTCAATGAAGAATATTCCTGAGTTTCTTTCCCTTCTTAGCTGATATTTTTAATATAAAATATGTAGGAACTATATTTTTAAATCAAAACACATCCTGCCTTTCCTCCCCTGCAGGGGGAGCTACTACGACACGCAAACACAATACGGAAGACTCACGGCAGATACGTACGGAAGTCGACGAATGCGTGAAGTGAACGAGTGCTAGCCCACCTAGCGTCGGCGTCTGTAAGCGTGCTCGTATCTCCGATATTTACTCGTTTCTTAAATCAACATCACTGCTCATTATAGTTGACTGACTTGAGGTTTTATGGATTGTTTTGTTTTTTTTCACAAGGACACTTTATCTTTAAACGCCGCATGTTAAAACGGTTTTAGTGCTAGTTTTTGGCACCAACCTGAGAAACTCTGAGTTCCATTAACAGCCACTGAGCAGCTGTCATGTTTATCCCTGTCACAAAACAGAATACTAAACAGCCCGCCACAGGACCACGGGGTCTTTAATCCAAAATCTCAGCAGGACCAAAACAAAACACACTCGCCTGACTTAAATTCACATCTCTAACACGTGATTTTTTTTTTTTTTTTAAGTCAATCCTCACTAAACTCACATGTCATGTACAGCTGCTGTTGTCTGTGCCAAGTCAACACTGTCATTTATTTTTATTAATATTACTAGAATACACAGCCTGTTCGAGAAAACACCAGGCACATGATTAGCAATATGCTAATTATCGGTAGCTGGCACGTATCGGAATATTTAATGACACAGTGTGACACCCGGTGGAAACATGCGGAACGGCTTTTGTTCACTCCGTAAAAAATGAATTAAATGTCCACAGCTGTCATACTAAATCATTTTTGGCCTGCGGCGTCCACAACAGACACTAGAGGCTGCTGTTGCACGTCAGTCTCAGGTCAGTTGCTGAGGATACACTTTAATTATACACAAACAGACTGTTTCAGTCTCCATACGTCACTTGCTTTTCACTTCTATTACTATCAAATAATTCATTAAGTCAAATCTATGATTATGATAAAATTATGACAAGGTTGTTAGTGACTGAGTGCTGACCTGGGTCTAGAACCTTCTGGTGGCAGACACCGGTCCTACCACTGCACCAGTCCAACATTCTTGTTAAAACACTAAATTCCTGATCAAATTTATAAATTTATTACATTATTCTTAAGCGTGCCGACTGTTTCTGTCTCTGATGTCACAGAGACCAGGTTACAACGACAACAATATCAGCGACAACAAACTTAATGGAGTGGTCTGTTCCAAGTTCCACTGCACATAAACTCTGGATTCTGGCCTCTCGTTTTTATTGTCCAACTGTCGGACAAGAAGTCAAATAAACACCCCATAAAAACAGATAAAAAAAAAACAGTAGCCCAGCAGCTGAGTCAACACCAAAGTTTTACTTTCATACCTGATGATTATGGTGACCTCGTGTGGACGTGTTGTTCAGTCGTTGTTTTTCTCCAGGCCCCTCCCTCACATCGGCGGTAATAACCGACAGTGGTGTAACTAAAACAAAGCATCCTTGGCAAATCATTTTTGTTGAATATTTATTTACAATGAATATTAACACAAAGGAGCGAACGACATCCACAGACTTAATTACATTAACAACATGGACTGGGGGAATAAATTCATGGCCACACTTTACCTTCATTTTCACGCCTCGCAGGATAATAGTCAATAAAGCAGCAACGCTGACCCTCCACTGTCCTCCGGAGACGGGCACGTCGGCCTGGCGATGTGCTCCGTCACCACATCTTCATCCAGTCCTGTGTTTGAACGGCCAAGGCTGAGAGTGATGTCAACATTTCAATGTGCGGCTTAAACTTTTGCAGAAGGTCAGAGAAGTGACTGTGGTTTTTTAAAAAAAGTGTTCGTGTTATACTCAGCTTCAATGTCAGGATGTCACAGTTCCGCAGCTCTGAGTAACAGTTTCCACTACGTAAGCAACGCACTGCGAATGTAACAAAGTGAAGAACGTCGCATGTGAAGTCAGTCTGATGAGGACATTTACAAAGAGAATTTGATTATTGATCATTGATCTTTGCTGGTGACGTCAGCGAAATCGAAGGCTGGGGTTTCTTGAAGTCGGTAAAATAAAAATATTAATATATTTTTTTCAACACTATCTGCTGTAAATATGTTAAATTACTACACTGCACCGTACATCCAAAACAACTGGAAACAAATGTTGATCTTACATTTAAAACGATTGGTGACGCAAACATTTTCAGATTCTTTACAATTTTATTTACACTTTGTACTTTTAATAAAAGACCCAAGACTTCTGTTGAAGTTTGGCCTAGACAGGGAGCCATAGGGCAGGAGGTATCTGAGCGTTTCACTGCATGCGCCTAAAACCCAGGTAGGGAGGGCAGCGGGCCGAAGCCTGAGTGCTTATGTGGGCGAGGGCTGCGCGATGCTCCTCTGACTGCTGGTGCTCTTGATAACGAAGGTTGACGAGTTGCTCTTGTGACTAGATTCAAAGTCACGCTCGCAGCGGCACTGCGGTGACTTGAGGTAGAGGTTGGAACAACACAGAAAGTTCTGCCTGAGATCCTGGAACAGATGTCCCGCGAAGCACATGTAGATCCAGGGGTTACAGCAGCTGTTGAGACTGGCCAGCAGCATGGAGATGATGAAGGGCATGGCTGTGGGAGAGAGAGGACGGTTAGCGTGCTACAACAACACAGACATCTGGATTCATCAGCCACACAGTCTCTGGGCCCGTGTTTATCTGGAACGAAGTGGAAAACAAGTTTCTTAGTAGAGACTTCAACAAAAACCGATAAAAGTGGAAACAGAGAAACATGATCCTTGATGGTATGTAACCTCCCACCGTTAATACAGAGTAGCAGATCCTTGATGGTATGTAACCTCCCACCATTAATACAGAGTAGTGGTTTTCAATAGGTGAGGTGCGCCTCTCCTAGGGGGCGCCAAAGAGTCACATGGGAGGCCTGCATGAAGTGAAATTGTTTGCTGTTGCAAATAATCGTTTATGAATGTATTTTTCAAATACATCCGATCAGTTGTTAATAAAACTCAACAGAAGATGCATTTACTGCAGAGGGGTGTGTGGGTTAGGGCAGGCGGACAGGAATTTGGGGAGGGGGGGCTCGGCTGTCATTACCTAGTCTATAGGGGAGGCTCACATTCACCCAATTTGAAAACCCCTGATATAGAGGACTGATTCTGAAATTATGGTGCGTGTACCACCGATGGTACTTGGGCTCCCTCTAGTGGTATGAATTTCATTTGCGTTAGGGTAATGGAAGGCAGTGTATATCACAGAACCACTGATGTTTGACTGGCCTGCCTGCGGTCCAGATCCATCCAAGAATCAGAAGACAAGTGTCCAAGTCTTTGGCAAAGCAAAAGTGAACAAACATTCAACTATTAATTATATTTACTATATTTACAAAAGTGAACAAACATTCAACTATTAACTATATTTTTCTTCCTAAATGGTATTAAAGAATAAATGACCAATTTATTAAATTGTTCATTCTGATAGGCCGGGATAATATCATTTGTGACATAAAGAAAATTAAACTGCAAAAACAGATGGTGGTGAAAAACTCTCCTTTTATCCTCAGAAACCAAACTCTTTCATGAGCCGACAAGAGCGATAGACAACAGTGGAATTCTTTTTTTGGTATGTCCCTCAATAATGGGTAAAAAACGAATGTAAGAGAACATAAGAGGCAGTGAGGGGGGAGAGTGGGAGAGAAAGAAAGCGAGAGTGGGAAAATTGAGATTGCAGATCATCCTCTAAGATTTCAGAGTCTAATGCTGTCATCTTCTTTCAGCCACCAATATTTTTAAAACCCGTCTCCTTCACAGACGTTCATTTTGCTCCTTCTTTGGTCAGTGTTTGTTTTTGAAAACGCTGTCTTGGCTTTTATGGCTCTGCACTGTCAGACTGTCATGATCCACAGTCGCCTCCGCTGTTAACCCCGGGGTCTGAGCTTTATGAGATGCAGTATTAAGTGAGTCGTGGGGGGAGAACACAAACTCAAAACAGGACCAGATTTAGTTGGACAACCAGTGGCTGGTGGTCTGCCTGCTGGGCATCACTGATGTCCAGACTTTTCTTCTGTCACGCAGCTTTAACGGGTCTCAAACTGAACCACCTTATTTCCAGTACATGCCCTACCTGTGCCCATAAAACTAGTGGCCTGAGGCAAATAAGCAAAACACAGGGCAAATTAGAATCTAAATGGTGAGGACCAGTTGTACCAGGGTGAAACCAGTGACCCACAAGAAACGACCAGCAAACTAAATAAACAGACTGTGGCTGGTTCTTGGTGGGTTCTAGTCACCCCCCACCCCCCCACCGACCAATCAGCAGAGGACCAATCAGCAAAGGACCAATCAGCAGAGGACCAATCAGCAGAGCCGATCCAACGTCTTCAGTCACACACCTGCCAACAATCAAACTTGCAGGAAGAAAAGAAAATCAAATACAGAATGGTTTTCTGACTAGGATTTAAAATAATTATTTCTTCTGGTAACAACAGAGTCCTGGACCGGATCATAATCTTCTATAAACACGATCAAAACTCAAATCTCAAACAAACAAATAAATAAAAAATAAATAAATTATTTTCAACAGGCTGTGAAACAGAACATACACGAACGCTTCCCTTGACTGTAGATAAATAATGACATTTACGTTCTGTCAACTCCACCACCCGAGCGACGTTTGGCAAATGGGATTTGAATTTCATCTAATTGGTTCATATCCCATTATTTAACCTCTCCTCCCTGATTTCTAATCTCCTTCTCAGCGCGTCTCGTGCTGCTGTCATTTTTTACGTTGTCTTTAATGACAGTCCCTGAGCTCTAGGAAAAATGTTCCAGCATGAACGATCATCTGGAAGGGCAATAAAGTCGCACACGTGATTAATACCAACAGTTCATTAACTATTAAGAATGTGATTAATGGCAGAAAAGACTCATTTTAATTGGGTGATCAGTCACTGGATCTTCATTCTACGGCAGACTGATGGCTTTTTGTCATCTTTCTGTGTTGCATTTCAATTTTGTCAGTGGGAAGAAGAAAGAAAGAAAAAATAAAGTTGATTTTAAAAAAGAAAAAGAAAGAAAAGTCCAATTAAAACAAACGTCCACATGTCCGTATGCTGTAATGTCCGTGTGAATGTAACACAGTCACATGTGACTCTGGAAAGGACCAATCGTCGCTTATCAGGGATTCTTATCAGGTCGGAGGAGAGCACAGCAGGCTGGGTCTTATTAGAATAACTGTGAAATGTCATGAATACAACTTTACTGAATTCATTTGCGGCGCATACAGAGGGAACAATAAATCACACTGTGAAGGAAAAGGCAGAACAATCACGGCCTGGCTTCTGCCTCGGTCTGACTCTCAGATCTGATGCTGCAGCTCAGGGGACATTTCCATATCAGGAACTCGACATATTGACACGTGTTCACCCTATTTCAATTTTACATTTTTTTCCTTTACGAGACTAAAGTGACACCAACCGCTCTGCCGCCTTGTGATGGTTTTTTTTTTAATTACAGAAACAAAACCTGACCTTTCAGGGAACAAAATCATGAATTACATCTTGGTCTTTCTTTCTATCCAGGCACTTAATACCAATCAACTGTAGTCTGAATGTGAGTCAGAGTTCACAGCCGGGGACCATCTTTGTGTGGTTAGTGTGTGTGTGTGGTTCTGAGTCAAGGCTGGACTTCAGGTGTTGTGCCCTAACATGACACACACAAAAGGATAACCGTAAAAAAGACTGACCACAAATCCACGACTAGTTCTACAAAGTACAAAATCTGATTATTGTATTTATTAATAAAAAAAATAAGGGTGGTTTAACTGCTGGAAAATCAAATTATTTGAATGAAAACTATATGAAACTTGCTACATATATATATATACATATATGTGTATATATATGTACATATATATATACACATATGTGTGTGTATATATATATGTACATATATATATATATACACATATATGTGTGTGTGTGTATGCATTTTTTTATTTGTTTGTTTTTCTTGGTCAGCTAATGGAATAACAACATTTCTTGTCTTGGCCTTGAGCAACACAGGAAACATAGACCTTTACATTAAGCCCAGGCCTTGAGCAGAAAGGAAATGTATTAGTGTAAAGAAAACCCAGATGGTTTGTCCTGTGTCATGTCATGTTGTTATTGTACTGGACCGACTGCCTGCTGGATGTCAGAGTATGAATATTAAAGTTTGGAGTTTTACCATTAATTTCCCTCTAATATCCTGCAACAACATAATCCTCAAAATGTCTCATAAAGCAGTTAATTAATATATTAATAATTGAGAAGAAGCCTGAGTCTGACTGATGTTAAAAATGAGGCAAAATCTCAGAGAAAATCAGTCAGTCAGTCAACTGACATCAACCACAAAACACTATTAAAGTATTAAAGAATTGGACTGTATATTGTAGCACCCCCTGTAGGACGAAAGGAGAGATGGACCAATCAGCTACAAAAATCAGGAATAGGAAAACTGGGACGACAATGTTGACAATATGGCGACTAAAACACAGAGTCCCACATCCAAAACTGAGGTGGTCCTACTCTGAATGGTCAGTGTCAAACAATCTGATTCATTTCACAAATAATAAATGTAATAAAGGGCATCTCCGTGCACAGTGATTGACGACTGTAGTGAAAACGAGCCTGATGTTCTGACGACAGGTGTCTGTTCTCTGTGTTTCTGTAACAGTGAGCAGCTTCTTGTCAAAAAACCCGTCATTAAAGGATGATTGTCTGCAATGATTGTCAGTAAGCAGCCAGAGGCAAAGGTAGACCTTCAATAATAATCAGTCGTATTGAACTAACTGGCCGTGGCTGATGGCTCCTTTGTCACAAACATACAATTTAAGAGCAGCGTCTGATCTTCATCACCTTCATGCATGACATCTACATTGTCTCATGGCTCATTTTGCTAAGTATGTTCTGAACGGACACGTTATCTCTACGTGATGACACCCCAGTCTATCTACTGCACACAGAAAGTGACACGTGTCACTGCCATTTGTGATCGCTCACGTGTAGAGGAGCAATCATCAAGACATCTGCAGCGATTTCAGGCTTGGCAGCAGGAAAAAGAATTCACTTCTTTCCCACTCGCAGTTTGATTCAACCCCGCTTTCCCTTTGTGACTTGAGAGACTTTGAATCTCGTCAAAACAAAAGGATCACAGCATTGCTGCTTCACTCCTCATTCACTATGAATGAAGAAGAAACAGACTTACAACACAATGAAATACTATTAGAAATCCAGGCACTGGTACTGCTTAAATCACAGACCAACAGACCAACGGCTCCCTCCTTTACACCTACCATTGCTAATGCTAATGCTAATGCTAAAGTTCCGACCTACTAGCTAGAACTTGACAAAACCTGTAACATTTCTTTTAACTATACACGGATTTCTTTCTTTAATTGAAACCATTTTGAAAACGTTTGAAACGAGGGAGAGAAGAGAGAGTTTTCACAGCCGAACGTGGACATGATTCGAAATAATTAAAATGACTTACGTTAATTTATTTGTTTTTATCCTATCTGTCCAGGTTAGGCCCCTTCCCGGAAGTTGGTCATACGCAGCGCTAGTTCACAAAGATCATTTCAACCAGTCATCGCCCTATTTTTAGCACATGCGCAGAAAAATCAATGATTTTGAATTCACGACCGTTAGTGACAGTTACGGTGTCCCCTGACTAAATGGAATGTAATTACCTCTAGCAATAATAAAAAATAACTTATAGAAACTGCCTCGTGAAATAAACAAGTCGATTAATAAAACAAATTACTACTCGTTGAATCCAATTGTTTGCTGAACTTGGTGAATGAATGACAGCAGCGCTGTGGCTAAGTAGTGAGGGGCTAATTTTACTCACAGCCTGCTTGTGTGGGCGTGGTCGCCGGTCAATAAACGCAGCGGACACGTACAGATGGTGGCTTTAGTGGCCTATCGTGGTTAAATGTCAACGGCGCACTCCAAACGTGCCTCACGGGCACAAACAGAAGGCGCTCGGCGCGCTGCGGCGCACACTGATTTGATTAATGATTAGCTCTCTGCCTGACCTGGACAGGTCAGAGGGGAAGGTGGGGAATCAGACACCGCCACCTATCGAGCTGATCGGCTTTAAATCCCGTCTCAAACCTACATCTGCATCAGTCGAACACAATTATATTTTCAGGTCACGTTGCGAACGCAAACAACAGATATCAACAAGAAAGTTGTCTGTGAGAAGAAAGAAAAAACAGAAAAAAAACATCGTTTCCGTCATAGTGAGTGAAAGTGTTTACGTCAGGTAATAAACCATCCGGAAAGTCATTCATTGGCTTAATGTCATTCATGTTTACGCACAATTATCATCGAAGTGCGTTTTTTTATGTATGTATCGCACAATTCACCTGCACCGACGGGAGGTGAAACATGTTTTACACTGTGATCAGTGCGTTCCACTCACACGAATTCAATATACAGGACAACAGCCGTGACGTGACCTGTGCGTAAAAGGCACAGATGCGCGCACCCAGACGGATATGAAGCCATAAAGTTCGAACCAACTAATTATTCCACCTATCAGTGTTATCATACAGCAAACAGTTTGATACGTGACGTCATATTATTGTGTATCTGACATATTTTTTATGTGTGTGTGTGTGTGTACTGTGCCCTGTGCCAACATACCCTCACGCGGTGCCTCTGGATCCCACGCTGACCACATCTGAACGGAGAAAAACGGAGTCCAGCAGACGATGTAGGCCAGGACGATGACGAAAGTCATTTTCACTGTGGTTATCTTGGCCTTGGAGATGAGCTTCACGCTGCTCACACGGGCCAGGGTGTTACTTTTGGAGGTTTTCGGGGTCAGGCTGATGCACTGCTCCCGTCGGGTTTTCAGTTTGAAGTTTTGCCATATCTTGTAGCTGATCAGCCCGTAGCAGAGGCTCAGCACGGCCACGGGGATTATATAGATGGTGAGGCTGATCCAGGTGATGTAGGCTTTGGCCCCCCAGGGCTTCACAAAGTCGGCCCAGCAGTCATAAACCCCGGATCCAGCGGAGCCCACCTCTTGCAGAGAAAAGATGAACATCTGCGGGACACTGAAGAGCAGACTCAACATCCACGAGAATATGACATAGATGCGATCTTTCCTCCTGTGCAGCGAACGCAGCGGCTGACAAATGGCCAGGCATCGGTCTATGGACATCAAAACTAACATGTAAGTGGACGCAAACATCCCGACGACTTGTAGGTATTTCACCAGTCTGCACAGAATATCCGGTCCGTAGAAGCGGAACGTAATATCCCAAATGAGCTGAGGGAGAACTTGGAAGATCGCCACCACTAGATCAGCGATGCTCAGGTGCTTCATGAAGAAATACATGCGGGACTGGCTGTGCTTGGTGGTGTGGATGGCGAGCAGGACGCACAAGTTCCCCACGAGCGCCAGGAGGAGAACCAAGGCGAGCACCGTCACCTCCACTTTTGCCACCTCCTCGTTCCGCTTCAGAGGGTTGGTCCGGTTGGACGCGGAGCTGGAGTTGAGCAGACTGGAGTTCCTCCAGGTTTCGTCGAACTGTGAGAAGTCACTGAGGTTTGACATGTTCCGCCGTGGCAGCCGTCCGTCTCCTGTGGATGTATCAGGGTCGTGTCGACAGACAGGGACTGGTTCAGACACCCGGAGTTTCTGAAGTGATACCCACTTCTCCTCTCTGAGACTTAAAACATGTTTAGAAAAAAACACTTCTCACTGCACCTCATTCATCCAGATATCCCATGACTGTGGGTCAAACGGTCTCAGTTTAACAAAACAATCTGGGGGCCTCATTCATCCAGATATCCCATGACTGACAAAACAATCTGGGGGAAAAAAATCTACAACATCAGCAGGTAGTGACTGGTGCCGAAAAATAGAAACGTCTTCTTCACAGGTCTGTGAAAATGTCTTCTAAAAATCTAAAAACAGAAATCCTTCCATTGAAAAAAAAAAAGACAGAAGGAAACTGCTGCAGAGACTGAGCTCACCTCCATCCCTGCCTGGAATCAGAATGGCAAGAGCTGCGGCGCACATGTGCCAGCTGTCCCCACTCTAACCATACGGCAATACCCTTTTCTACCATCGGGTGGCGCTGCCAGTCCTTTATGCATACCTTCAATTTCCTGCTGTGTTTCTCACGGACTTAAACGTCTTCACAGAAAATCCCAAACCCTGGATCAGCTGCGGCTCAACGATCCTGTTGGACACTGCCAACCGGCGTCATTTCTGTCATAGCCGAGTGATGACGAATCAGCAGCGACTGGAGAGTCAAGGCACAGAACACTGATGGCAAGATTACAATGTTGTGTTGAGAAAGAGAGGGAAAAAAATAATTCACTATTTATCAAAGTAGACTACCTACTTCCCGCTCTCTCCTCCTCCAGTGTTACACCTGTTTAAAGAAAAACAAATGTTCATTTAACAACACACTTGAAGCATCATTAAATAAAAAGTCGAAATTAAAAAGTCAACACCAGGCTAATTATCATGATTTTATTTGTTAAACAAAAGGAATCATCAGGACTCCAGGAGCTGTGATCCAGTCACATCCGGTTTTGACACTGAGAACATGAGTTTATGGAGCTTCACAGGTGACTTTATGGCCTGTTATTGTAAAGAACTCCTGCACATTAACTGCTTCACCGTTGTCTTTGTGTTTCCTCCATGACCTGAGTCTCCAGACCCTGTGACCATTCACAAACAGCCAAAAATGATCATTTGTGTTTCATGTTTTCTGAGGAAATTCTTCATCATTAAGTGAAGACTCAACACTGAAACGAGCGGCTCATTGGTCAGATCTGTTTCCGCCGTACAACAACAACAACAACAACGACGACGACAGCGNTTTCCGCCGTACAACAACAACAACAACGACGGCGATAACAACAACAACAACAACGACGACGACGGCGGCAACGACAGGACGTAGCCTCACACTGTTGTTTCCCTGGATATTGTATTACACTGTGTAAATTAGACCAGCAACAGACAGGCCCTGATATGATTTGTGACCCTCCCTCAGGTGGAGGAAACAAACAACCGCGGTGGAAACAGTTGAATTTCTTTTATCGGCAGTGACGTGTGATGTCCATGCTAATGTCTATCTGTCACATTCCTACGATTCCTGTGAAGACACGATTCTTCCCTCTGGCCGTTTGTGTTGCCCAGTGCCATGCAGCGGTGGGATTGATGCCTGGACTGGATTGGCAACACTGCCTATTATTACTTAATTGACGGGGGTTGCTGGTGTAACAGCAACACAAGAATTTTAACAATATCCAAAGCACACGTGACACACACGGTCATTAGTGTGTCCTTTATATTTAACACACTGCTGCACAGAGACACTGCACACACTGGGCATCGATGTCAAATCAAACAGAATGAAAAGATTGTGCGTAAGTTCCACGAACGAACGAACGAATGAACGAACGCACTCTCTGTGTTTGTGAACCTGGAGCAGCAGAAACACTGAGAGTGAGTGAAAACACTCTGTTAATGTTAATGTGCACCACCTTAAATTTCCAGCAGCACAGTTGGAGACCAATGGGGAAAATGTCTCTGGTTTTATCTCTGCCAGCCAGCAAACCCTCTCTCTCCCCCCGTCTCTCTCTCTCACCCCCACCTCATTCTGCCTCTTGTGGTTTTCTCTTTGGAAAAAGGTTCCTTCACTGCGGTTTGGAGGATGAGAGTGCTTTAACACTGACTGGAAAATAAAAAGACAAAGATAAAAAAAGTAACCACTAGGGATGTCCCATATTTAGTTTTTGCCGATGTCCGATACGCCGATATTGTCCAAACACTTAAATTCCGATATTAATATCAGCCGATACCGATATATGCCGCCGTTAGCCCACAAAACTGAGGTAAAAACTGAGGTAAACGTCTCAGGACCCAGAAAGCGATTCCAGTATATTTGGCAAACCCAGGATTTGCGATATCGGGTTTTCATCATCGTAGGAAAAACCGATAACGATTCTTACAGACATCATTAGGCTAATATCAGGTGACCGACATTATAGTTTATTATTACTGTATTAGTCTCAATAATCAATGATAAAAATGTAAATACAAGTTGTTGTTCAGTGTGTCTAAGTATGTTTTTAATAAGAATAATGATAACAATAATAAAATAAAATATTCTATTTTTATTTTATTATACATCTGTAATAATAATAATTGTGATATTAACAAGTATCATAATGACAATAGTATATAATAGTCATAATTAAATAATATTATAAAGAACAAAAACAATACTACTACTGATAAAAATAATAATATTTGGATGGCTCATGCTCTAAAACGTTGATTTTTTTTATTATATAGTAGAGTGTGGCTCCACATCTGTTGGTCTTCAGGAGAAGCAGTGAAGAGTCGTGATGTGTTGCTGACAGATGTAACCCCCTCCCCGCCCCCTGGTGGTCTGTAATGTACCGAGCTAAAGGACGTGGGGTCTTCCCAAATGTTCTCGTTGACAGATCAAGAGGATTAGAACATCTGTAGCACTTATGTAAGTATGAGTGATGAAAAGAGGAAACCTGGACCACAAGCTGAGCAGAGTCCCTGCTCCACAGGCTCCTGGTGGTGAGTGTGTGTAGTGTCATCATGGAAACAGAGCGGAGGCTGCAAGACAGAGATCTGACCATGACCGGTATAACTGGAGCCGATGAAGTAGAAAATGGTCAAAGAAGAGAATTATAATAATGTAAAATAATAATAATATTAGTAAAAACTGTTGTTGTCGTATCGTTGTATCGTTGTTCAACTGAATCGTGACAGAATGTTCTTAAAACCGACGTGAAACAAAAGAAGAAAATAGTAAATCAAATCCAGACCTCATTAAACTGAAAGCCGTCAAGAAATTATAGAAACATTAAGTCATGAGTAGAAAAAAAAGGGTTTTACAAATAAGCACAGAAAAGTACCAAATACTAACCCTTATTATTATTATTATTATTATTATTATTATTATTCTCCCTTTAAGATGTGAGTTTGTTTTTAAACAGAATTTTATAGATTTGTTTGTGGTTTAAAGGTTCTGATATTGAATGATAATAACAACAACAACAATAACATTCACAATAAATAAAGGGCCAACCGATATTAGCATTGTTATGTAACACGTTAAGAATCATTAATGAAAACCCCATAAGGTAATGCCTGGGTTTGACCCAGATCATGTGACCGAGAAGACAACTGTATATATCGCTATTGGTTGATATTAAAAATAAAAATAAAAATAAAAATAATAGTTGTGCTACTCAAGGGTCTTCTCTGTACGTTGCCCTCGTTGGTGCGTGGGTGTCTTCTCGTTTCCTCCCACAGCCCAGATGACATGTGTGTACGACATGTTTCCAGCAGAGAAAACTCATACGTTTCTATTAAATCTGACGGAGGACACACTGTCCACTCTGTCAAAGCACATGTCCTACACGCTAATAAACATGTCAGCGCTTATTTACTGCATTATTACTATAAATCAATCTGGTCGCGCGCTTACATTCTCCATCTGCTAAAACCTCGCCGCACATGTAACTAATTTCTCCCTGTGATTCCAGTGGCTCAGCACTTCTCTGTTCCCACAAACACTGAGCTTTGAGTTGACAGATCTCATTAGAGATGAGGTTCAGGTCCAAGCCCCCGTACAAGTCAGATAAAAAGGATCTGCGTGCTAATACTTTTGGCCCCAGCTGGTTATGCAATCACACAGTACATGAAGTATTCAGCTTACCATTTCCCCCTGAGTGATTTTGTGTCATGAGGTGCATGTAAGAAAAAAGAAAAGAAAAGAAAAGAAAGTCTATCATACTGTGAGATGCAGAGAGAAACAGTCTCCTCCGACTTAGCGGAGCATTTCATCTTCTCTGCATGTTAATATCAATGAATGTAGAAACTCCTCACAGAGAGGCTGTTCATCCGAGCCGTGACACAAACATAGTTGATGTAAGGCACCAGGGTGGAACACAATGACACCGCGCAGCCGCCTTAACAAAACAATAACTAGCAAAATCTTGTCTATTACAAAAAAAAACTTCTCTTTAACAGGCTGTCAATTTTAGTATTTTAGAGACAGGGTTTTTTATTGTCAGACATTGTCTCATTAAAACTGATGCCCACAAGATTTTGACAGCGAAAAAAAGGGATATGGTTTGAATGAGGTTTGTCAGGTTAAACAGTAGGAATGAGGTATAAAAGGAGCATCCACCAAAGGCCTGGTCCGTGAGGGTCGGTCAACCAGACTGTATTAAAATCATCATCTCTGAGGTTAGAAGAGCATGAAAGGTTGAGGTGCCGTAAGAAAAATCTTGCTTAGTGAACGTCAAGTTCTTGAACCAGACCGTCCTGCCTGAAGTCCAGATCTGTTTGCTATTAAAATGTCTGGAATGTCATGAAACAAGAAGAAGTACAAATTGTCGAGGTTTTTTTTAGTCTGTTTTAGGGCTAAATATCAATTAAAATATTAAGTGAACCAGACCGTCCTGCCTGAAGTCCAAATCTGTTTGCTATTAAAATGTCTGGGATGTCATGAAACAAGAAGCAGTACAAATTGTCGAGGTTTTTTAAAATATCAATTAAAATATTAAAATTCAATTAATCACATTGTTTAATTCTCTACAACTCACTCATTTGTTTTGGGGTTTTTCTTTGGTTGTTTCTTTATCTGTTGTAAATGAACCCGTGGAGAAAGATCTAAGAAAGGGGCGTCGACCGCTCTGTCACATTACTAACACCAGTTTATCACTTTGCTTGTTGTACTGGAAAATTAATTAGCTTGTTATCATCTTAGTGTGGCTGCCAGTCACGCAGCTTGGCTTTAAAGATTTAAGTGAGTAAACATGTTGCAGTCATACATCACACCAGCCTGGGACATATCTCACTCCAGCACCGAGGTCCACAGCACCAGTTAAACAAATGTTGGAAAATGCCCGCACTTGAAGTGTTCTCCACGGCGGCCTCCTTTCTAAGGAAATGCCCCGTTTCCTCCGTCACTGCTTTAACTCTTGTTTTCCCAGTCAGGATCAGAGGTTTGCTGAAACAGTGGCAGGAAAGGCCGCCTGCGGTGCCGCCTGCCACGCTTCTGAAAACACGAGTGCGGTCGATTTGGAAGGTAAAAACAACACGACAGGTTTTTACATAAACAGAAACGTCCTTTTTTAGGTCTGCTGGCCAAAAACAACATGTTGTTTAAACCATTGTTTCCCAAAGGCCGGGTCGCGACCCTAAGGTGGGTCGCAAGAGATTTTCTTTGGGGTCGTCTCGCATCATGTTTCCCAGGAGTTCATGAATAATGACTATTGACTCGGGTCGTGAAGGTTTGTGACTTTTAAAATATGGGTCCCCGGAAAAAAATGTTGTTGGGAAACACTGGTTTAAACTACGATGTAAACT